AATTTCCTCTCTCTAGGTCTTGAGTTCTTCGTTCCTTTCTCTTTCTAAAATCAAAAGTCTTTTGGTTTTTCTACTCTCTCTCAATGTAATGCATTTCTTAAGTGATTTGCATATTGAGAAGTGTAGTGATGTTCTTGAGTGAACGTTTCTAATGGTTGAAAGGCTAATTTTACTGTGATCTTGAATGATAACTATTTGAGTGCCTAGATTTGTATTTTGGACACTTTGGTTCTATTTTCATACAACGATTCCTTCCAGTGACGGAAGCTCTAAGGGTTTATGGTTTTATTGCCTTAGAGCAAAAGTTTATTGAAGTTCATTTTATAGTCCATGTTCTTCTTTCAATTTTATTTTTAATCTTGCTGATTATATTGCCTAATAGTTTGAACCTAATCATAAAAATGATGATGCAGGAAATAAGCTATAACTGAGGTTTTTTTTCCCAACTGTACCTCCATCTAATAGTAATGAGAATGTAACCAAACTAGTATTAATATCAAGGATGGAGATAGTGGAGGACAGTCCCATATAAAAACCTAATAAGAAATTGTAAAATTTTAGTCCAAATATTAGTGTTAGCCCAACTATAGTGTGAATCTCAACTCGAATCCAATGCTCAATTATTCATATTATATTAAGGACAATATAATTATTAATTACTCTTTTCATGATATTCATGAAATGTGAATATTTTTTTATCAAATCAGATATTCTATTTAATGCATGTTTGATTAAAATTTACTTATAATTATTAAATAAACTTTATTATAGATAATTTATATTGATTAAATCTAAAAGTAAATTACTTATTTTAATAGTTAAAAACACTACATATTTTTCTAAATTTAACAGTAATTAATTTTTTTATTTCTAAAAAAGAGAATATTTGTTAAAACTTGTTTATTTATAAAGTAATCTATAGACCATATACAAGTATATTCTTAAAATTGAGCAAAAAAAATGGACGTGAATTAAATTTAATTTCTTTCACCCTTTACAATTTCTAGTTGATTTTTCTCATTTTAGCTGCTATTCTTCACTCACTTTGAAATGTGATGATATTGAAGATCAATGAAAACATCAAATAATATTTTGAGACAGTAACATATGGATTATAGTTACATATTATTGATTGCATGTTTCGATCAAGCTTTCATTTGTTCGAAAAATACTGGTTGCCAATGTTATTATAAGAATACTCATTAATCCCTATTTGTCATTCTTTAACAAATTAAATTATTTGCTAGAATAACATTCTTTATCATACATTCACATAATAAAATATTCGACACACAAACTAATAAAGTTTCTTTAAATTTTAACCACACATTCTCCAAAAAACATTATTCAAAACGCTTTAATTTCTACCATAATGGGAGACAAATATGTTCCAAGTAAATTTTTAAACTTGCATTGGTAGATGTGTATTTTTGCTTATTTCTATCATGGTTCAGTTAGTTAATATTTTTAAGGTAAGCGTCGATTTTCTATTTGGTAAAAAAATACAAAGATTTAGTGGAATATCTTAATGTGAGACATTTAAACTTTTTTATTTCATTGAGTGTCATAAAATTTTTATTGTGAATTTTATGACGATAGTCTCAGAAACTCTTTTTCTTGTAGCGTAAGTTCATTAAAAAAAAAATTAAGTTTCAGCCCATCCCTACATCATTTTATGGCTCCGCCCTGATTAATATTGGAACAACTTATGGGAATAGGTGGTGGTTGGCAAGATCAAATTGGTGGTCTCTATCGCAGGATTAAGTTTATTGCAAGTTTCGTTGGAATCCTATTGCGGCTTCAAGTCATTCTTCGGTTAGCTTTCACCCCTGACTTAACAAAGAGTTGCAACAACGACTTCTCGTATTTTATTGGGTCAAGCAAGTACTTGTTTACTGAGTCGGCCCTGGCCCAAGGCAAACTAGGCAAAGGCCTAGGGCCTCAAATTTTTGGGGGCTTCATAAGTTAGGCCCAATCCCCAATAAGTTCAAACCCCACCCAAGACTTGAGAAAGAAAAATAACTATAGGTTAGCTAGTAGAGAGAGGAAGAGACGAGATGATTTATTGAGCTAATTTCTCCAATTCCTTCCATCACCGCCATTGGAGGATCCCAAGAAGTCTGAAGCATCGGAAATCCGAAATGGGAAATATAAGCTTCTCTCTTTTTCACTTTGGTGGCCCTGATACTCTTATAGCTAGATTTAAATTGTAATATGACTCTTTCGAAGAAGAAATTGCAAGGGGTATTTCTCCAAATTTATCAATGAATTGATTTGACCTACAATATGAAAGACACTATTGAAGAATGCAATTTGTTTGCTGCAACTAATGGAATAAAATTTTCTTTCTTGTGATTTTGTTAGTTAAGTTGTCAAAATCATTGTTTGCTCATTGCCACTGAATTGAGGGAAAAAGGGCAAGATTGGTTCTGAAAATAGCCTGCAACTATTGAATTTTAGGCAATGAGCGAAAGGCAGTTTATGTAGGTGGGTGGGGATTTAATTGATTGCATAATTTAAGAATGTTATTCTATGCAAAATTTGATCAATTTTAATTAATGGTTATTACTTTGCTTTTGGATGCTAACTATCATTTTTACCCTTATTTTCAAATGTTGAAGATGATTTTAAAGATTTCCCCCTTTTTTCCTCTCTTTTTTGAAGAGATCTTTTTTTATTTATTTATTTTTTAGATTTATGGTATTTCATTACTGGTCTATATTCTAAACTATTAGAAAACGTAAGATCTTCTTTTTAATTTCTACTTTAAAATATTCTCCATTCTCACTAGTCGAAGTTGTATATGATGAGCTCGTATAAAAGATTGAAATAACATTGCTAAAATTTCTGGAGACTCACGAGTGATAACTTGAAGTTACTAAAACTTATTAAAACAATAGAAAATAGATAATTCTTCCAACCTTGGTATAGTGATCAAAGTTCTCAAAACCGACCCTAGTATAGAGATCAATAACGCTGCAGTAGAAAATATAAGTATTGCTACGCTTATAAAAATATTATGTTTAAGGGCTTTAGAATAATTATTCGCCTAGAGCCTCAAAATTATCAGGACTAGCCCTGTTGTTTAATAATGCTTGTGAGTTGCGGATCCTATAGAATGTAAATAGTAAGTGACAGTAAGTTGTGAATTTTATGAAATTTGTGTATAAAAAGGTAAGTTTGGCTATTACAAAATTTGTTGATAAAAATTTTTTTATTGCAAATTTTCAAGTTTCTCTTTTGTCGTTATCCATTTCACAAAATAATAAAGATAATAAGTCAAAGTAGTTTGCTTAGCAATGAACTCATTTCCTTAAAATCTAAACAATATACAATTAATTCAATTAAACAAATCTAAATATAGGACTTTTGCATTAATTAATTTGCACCTAACTTTTAAAGGACACGTGTAATGATGCTATGGCTGAAGAATCCTATCATCCCTTAGTTTTCTTCCACGTTACGATGGGCACCCATTGGTTACTCTGTATTACAATTCTTTAACCCACTGATTGGTGTAATAAAATTAAACTTTTAATAAATTTTAATAAAACATAATAAAATTTATGATTAAAAATTAATAAATATTGTGAATCGGGTAAAATATATAGTTAAAATAATTATTGATATTAATTTAAATTTTTATCAAAATTTAAACAAAGGTTAAATAACAATAATTTATAAAGCCCCCGTTTATTTCACATAATTTGTCCATTAAAATGAAAAATATAACCGTTATCAATCATATCAAGCCATCATATTTGACTTTCTATTTCTTGTGTGGGGTCCGTAACGATTATATTTTTCGTTCTCATTTTTACATTAATGTGTACCAAACGGGACAAAAAGTTAGACTGTCAAAATGAATTCAACAAACAAATACTAATTTATGTGCGAAAATGCTTGATTTTGTTTGCATTTGTAGTAATTAATTATTGTTTTTCTTAGGAAATGCCGGAGTATAGAAGTTAGTTAACATAATTAATTTACCTAACAAAGAAAATATTAATTAATATTATTATACCATTAATGATGGATCAACAAATAAATTATTACTACTCCGAAAATTATGAAGTGCTTACATTATGATATGGGCCCAACATTACATTTTAAGCTTGTATGAGGTGGATTGGATATTTGAATTCATGAATCTTATCTCTAACTTAATTAGACTTATGAGAAAATAAATTAAGTTTTTAATAATCAAATTGAAGATTAAGAGCTTGTTTTGTAGAATTTGAAAGTCAATTAAAATTAATTTTTTTATCGTTATTTTACTATTACAGTCGTTATTTTTGAATTTTTCTCTTACCAGTAGGACTCACTTTATTTTTAACGATCAAAAAATTAATTATCAAAATTCCTACCAAACAAGCAATAAATTGTCTATTTTTTTCCATTTATTGATAAATCATATAAAAGATTAGAGTGGATAATTAATGATAAAAACACATCATACGACATCGTTCACGTGAAAGCGGAAAGGTGAAAACCGCAGCAGTGAAATAACTGGGAAACAAAAATTCTGTGTCAGAAAATTTAAAAGCTCACAAACAAATGAAATTTATCATTCAGATCCAAACCCACTTGCCCCATCTCTCTATCTCTAACTTTTATCCAATTCAATCCAATTATAGTTCAGGTCTCTCTCTCTCTCTCTCTATCTCTTTCATCGCTTGAAGTATGTGAAATTAGGAGAATTTGTGTTTTATTTTTTTTGAGCATTTTTTTTTAATGTTAATTTCTGGTTTATGAATGAAATTGTCTTGATTTTGGGCTCTTTTGTTGCTGATGTTGTAATCTCTGTTAAAGTTATTGGTTGCATGGAAGCATCTTTTATGTTTTCTTTCTATTTTGTGTTTTCTGGGATGAGTTTAATTTCGATGGGGCTTTATTTCTGGCTGATTTTCTGGTTTTTTTTTTTTTTTTTTTTTTTTTTTTTTTTTTGGGGGAATGGGGGGGGGGGGGGGGTCCTTTATTTCTGGCTGATTTTCTGGTTTTTTTTTTTTTTTTTAGTTATTGGATAGAAAGCTGTTCTATAAATTATTGAAGGAATTTTAAGGGTTTTGATTACTCATGTTTATGTGGTTTTTTATTATTGAATATGAACAACGCTGTGTGTAACTATTTCAGAAAGTAATGATAGAATTGTACAATTTTTGGCTTGAATTTGTGGAAAGTGCAGTAAAAATTCTCTTTTTCTTCTTTTTTGTTATTGCTTTGTCAATGAAGTGCCTTTGAAAAGAAGTTATTCAGCATTTATCTTTTAGAAGTTGAAAGAGACCAGTTTGGAGTACATTTGCAGGTTTTGGATAAGCACTGTATGTAATTTATGGGTGATATTCGGATTAAAAAAGAGAGAGACTTAAAAGTGATTAAATTAAGGTTATCGAGGATGTGTAAGAGGGGCCATGAATAAGGACATACAAGACTCGTAGATCATCTCTGTAAGCAGTAGAGGAGAGGATTCGAGAGTTCTATAGAAAAAAATTTCATGGTGTACACTATTGCGGATGATATAGTATTGATGAATTGCTTATTGGTCTGAGGATAGTATAATATCTGTTCTCTCTATTGCATTGTGGATTTGTTGTAAATTTATCAAATTTATGCTCATAATATTTTTATTGTCTTATTCAATTGAAAAAACTTTTCCTTATAATGATACAAATCTGAGAGAGAATTGTTTTTGGTTGATAAAATTTGCCGAAGAATGGGTGAGTGATGGCACTGGCAGAGGCTAGGGCTGCTTGGCAGAGAACAGCAAACCGATGCTTGGTCCAGGAAGATGCCAAAAGAGCTCCGAAGTTAGCTTGCTGCTCATCTGCATCTCCTTCTGTGAAGCCTGTCGATGCAGGACCTGGTGGCATAGCTGATGGTCAAGATACTCCGAGCATAGGTTGTCTGCCTCTTAATCGGTACTCTTCATATTCCAATTTATCTCCTAATTCAAGATGGTGGCTACAGAATCAACCAAATCATGGATATCAAAACAGTTTGAAGAACGAGCAGTTTAATGCCTCAGAGGCAAATATGGATATCTGTGGCACTTTTGATAGCTCCAGAGTCGATGTGCATAATGAAGATGATGCTGGCCTTGTAGATCAAATTAGACATGTAGAATCCGCCCAAGATAATCAGTGTAGAATCTTTCCAACTTCTGAAAAGAAAAATTTTAGAGTTAATGATACTGAAAATTTCCAAGATCCTCTAAAGTTTGAAGACACCAAGGATCAGAGTGAACTAACATACCTAAGTGTTGTTGATCTTGAAGTTTCAAACAAATCCAATGATTTTTGTTTTGATTCGGGGGGTTCTTGGATCGGGGCCCAAAAAAATGACCCTTGGTGGCGAACTGCAGATACAGAAGAATTGGCTCTATTGGTTGCACATAGATCTCTTGACCTTATAGGGAATTGTGATCTTCCCCAGCCTCAGCATACTCATGACAAGAAGGACATAAATGTTAATATATGCTGTTTTGGTCCAGATGGAATTGACACCTCGTCAGATCTTAACCGTGAAAGTTGCTACAATTTAACAAGTCATATACCAGGAAGCCTTTCTGCAGAAATTCCTTACAAGAAACATACGTTGTCAGCTGAAGTTGAATTACTGTCAAGTTCAGATAAGCGATCGAGGTATTATATTGCATGTATTTTTATTGTTTTCTAACTGTCGTTTATTTGTTCCAACTTTGATAATTTTATCACATATTTTGATGAAAATTCACATATTGTCATGGTTAACCAATTTGTGACCTGAAAAACAGTGAGAATCCAACGCACAAATGGATGCCTGAGATGCATAATTCTGAGAATGATCAGAGCAAGGCCGAACTACTGGAAGCATTATGTCACTCTCAAACACGTGCCCGGAAAGCCGAGAAAGCTGCAAAACGAGCTTGTGCCGAGAAGGAACACATTGTGCAGCTGGTCTTTAGACAAGCATCACAGCTTTTTGCTTACAAGCAGTGGTTCCAACTTCTGCAGCTTGAGAACATTTATTTCCAGATCAAGAACAACAAAAGCCAGCCAATATCTACCATTTTCCCCCTAAAGATACCCTGGGTGCCTCGAAGAACTAAGAAAACGCGAAATATCTTTCATAAGTTTGGCGGGGGAAAACTAGGTAAAAAATCTCGTCCTCGACATGATATTAGCAGATACGCGGTTGTTTTTGCATTGGGTTTGGGTCTTGTCAGCGCTGGTTTTTTTCTTGGATGGACTGCAGGGTGTATGTTACCAAGCTTGTAATCTACACCTCTTTAGCGCTTGTTCAGATTTTTGTGTAGATAGGTTCCTGAAAGAGTTTGTTACCCTGTATTTTCCCCATGTTGTATGGAATCAAGATTCATCTTACATTCCCCACCTCCCAATTTCCCCTTTGTTTTCCTTGTAAGAACTTGGATCTTTGAGTCAACTCTCTAGTTTTTATACATATGATATGATGAAGTGTTAGTGTACATATTTTGACTTGTATGTAGTTTGGCATGTTTTTAGGTTCATGGCTTGATGCTCATGCTTCTTCCTTTGTGATAATCAGTTCTCCTCACCAGAATAACCAGACACGCCACTCACTTTTTATGTTGCAGTTTATTTGCTCTTATGGCTTCACATTAATGGGACGTTTATGATTTATGGTGGCTAGTAATGACCGTGCATGAATCTCTATATTGGGAAAATATTGTACAAGTTAGAAGAGTTACATTCTTTGTTAATTTTCCATTGGAAAAGTAGCATGCGATCCTTATATCATAAACACAATGTTACCATTGATCATGAACACATACAACTTTTTTGCACTGATATTGTTCACTTGTACTGTAAATTTCAATTTGGTTTAGGTGTATGTGTGTTTGGGAGGGCTTTTTAGCAGTTAAAAAGCACTTTTAGAAGGTTAAAACACTTCTTTATAAAAATGCCATTTTTTGGTTGTGGTCCAAAGAAGCTCAAATTTTATGCTTTTCTAAAATATTCTAAATCCATCTTCATGGAGAGAAGAAATTTGCATTAATTGTTATTATTAATTTATAATAAAATATCAAATATATCTACACGTCAATGTGTTTATAAATTTAAATTCTATTTGAATCTTAATATAGCATGTTTTTTCTCAATTTTTATACATTATTATATTCTTTTTTATTTGTTAATGCCTGATAATATAGTTTAGGAAATGAAATTTAAAATTATACGAGAAATTATGGTATATTTTATGATATTTTCATATATTAATTTGTAATATTTCAACGTCTTAAAAAATAAAAATAATAGGATTCATGCTAAAAAAAATTGTGTCTTGGCAATTTAATTTCTTTATATATTTTATATAATAAAGCATCTTAGTCAAAAAAAATTTGGTTAAAGAATCTCTTTTTAGTTGATTTGAAACAACTAGGTGATTCTCTAGAAGAAATACCCTCCAAAAGGCGATTTTAATAAATAACCAAGTATGATACTTGGACTACGGGAGGCTTAGTCTAATAATTATGAAATTTGTACAACCATTTTTATTCTATTTTTTCTAAGGGTCCGTTTGATTACAAAGGTGGAAAAAACAAAAAAATTCCATGTAAGTTGAAAATGAAAAAACCATCGAAACCAAAGGAATTCAATTTTCATGGAATTGGCCAAAAACATGTTTAAGTGTTTGTACCTTAGAATTCGAACTTCATTTTCACTTTCCCATTAAACAACCAAGTAAAAAAATGAATTTCTCGAATCTGACATTTTACATAGAGTTCGTTTCAATCAAACAAACCCTAACTATCAATTTGATGTCCATAGCTCTTTTTTTTTGTTGACAATCGAATAATCATCAATTTTTTTTTTTTACAATGACTCATTATGGAGAATTCTATTAATAAAAGCTTAACTCGTAAGAGACGTGCCAAACGGACCCATAGATCTTCAGTAAATTAAATATCATTGACTTTAAATATAAATATGTAAGAAAAGAAGTAACATTCATGGATCCAAATTGTCGAAAATGGAAATTACACCCATCCCTATTTTTCAACTTCAAACTTCAAAAATCAAGTTTAAAAATTATTTATACAAAAATCAGGTCATGATTTAAATTTTAATATTAATAATACCATTATTGAATTTCTCAATATCTTTTCTTTTCCGTGCACAATACAACCACGTGCAACGGCGAGGTAAGGTACATGCAGCATCGGGCATGCAACGATGATGTGCGGACTGTGCTTGTTGGCCGCGATACAGTGTGCAACGGTGCTTCCATAGTGTGGCATCACACTTGGTACTGTATGCAGGTTTGGGATGGTTTTGAGGTTTTTTCTCCTCCGATCTACTTAGTGGTGTGGGTTTTGTTGGTGGTTTGCAAATTGTGGTGGTTGTTTTGCATTTACAAATGGTGGTGGTGGTGGCGACGTGGTACAGGTTTCGGTTGGTGTCAGTGTCAAATATGGTGGTGGATGGGGTGAAGAACGCTTGTGATTAATAGAATAGTTAATTTGTGACTTATAAATAATATATGACCTAATGATGTGTTATTGTGATTTACTTTTTATATTTATGTGACTGTGACTTTATCATATCTCATTCTGTGTTGCTCCCATTATATTTGTAATTGTGATTTACTTTTTGTGTCTATGTGACTGTGACTTTGTCCTGTCCCATTCTGTGTTGCTCTCACCTCGAGAACACATATCTCCCCAATCGCCCACATGCTCATTAGATTGATCACTCAATTCATGTCCAGTGGCAGACCCAGCCTTTCTAGGTTATGGAATCAAAAATTAATGTGTAATTTTTTAAAATAATATAATATTAATGAAAATAAGTTAATACGCATTTTGACACCTGGAAAATGTCTTATAATTATATCATTATCAATAGTGTTAAATGAATTTTGCTACATGTATAATTTTGTTTACCATGTCATTTTTAGATATTAAGTTAACGGCGAATAAATCAAATTAGATGTAGGAAGTAAATGAATTGAAGTAAAATTCACACTTAATTTATGAAGTAAATGAAATTTAATTTTAACACAAAAATAATTTGAAAGTAATTCAAATTACATTTAATCCGTAACGATTTTAGAATTTTTGACGTCATCTTCCATGTAAAATTTCCTAATAAAATGATGTAAATTATATTGAAAAATTTATCGCACAAAAATAATAAACGTTAATGAAATATTGAATTTTTTAAAAGAAAAACGAGTTAAACGTCTTTTCTAGTACGTACGTTTGATACATGTTTAACTATTTTCAATATTCGTTTCGACCATTTGATATGACTACGATGTAGTTCTCGAAACAAGCTTCTAGATGACTCATGCGATTTGTGGATTCGAATAATATACGATCATTGGCAAATTTTAAAAGTTATCATATTATCGAACTTTTCGAAATATTAATTTGAAGCGGATTACTTTGATACATCGTAACTTTTGCTACGGTTGATTATTTCACACTCCATTAAGAAGCGAAAAACTAGGTTATGAACACTTCGAAATGATATTAAGAATGCAATGCTCCGACTTCATTTGACATGTGTTCACGAAATAATTCTTTCGATTTAAAACTACCGCAAGTGTACAGAACGTAACGAGTAATAAAGTGGATTTTTAAAAGTCCGAATATCGTCCCACAGAGATTGAGTAGTTCAATTCTATATAATCTAGTCTTAACCGAATCTAATTGAGTGAAAATATGATCCAAATGCAAAAAGTCCTAATTTCAATTAAAACCATAATTTCTCAATTAGAAACTCTAATCTCGAAATTTCTCTAATTAAACGACTCAAACACTCAAATAAATGAAATTATGCAAATTCAAAAGCTAATTTATGGAAATGAATCAAAATAAAGTCACTAGGATCACGAATCCCCAATTGAAGCTATAAAAACCCTAATTTCATAAAATCAATGACCTGATGGAAATTTGCCAATTCAATGTTCCTAAATCTATCCAACATATTCTCTCGATGTATATTAGACCTATTCTTGCACACCACCAGCCTATATCTCTATGGATGATGCAAATATACAAGAATGCATGTGGTTTTGTGAACAATTAGAGAATTGCATAAAGCATA